CTTAAAGACGTCTCGTGTAATCCTGTTACTGGTTCATTGTATGCATTTCCCAAAGTTATTCTTCCACAAAAAGCCGTCGAAGAGGCTAAGGTGAGGCGTAGTTCCTCGAAACCAATAGACCTTTTGCGATACGGCGGCCCTATTGAGTTTATTAGATTTAAGGCGTATAATGGGATGCCCAGGGAGCACTCGCTCAGTATTTATTTTCGGGCAAAAAGAGAACTTCACTGTACATTTCTCGGGAAAAAGGCGATCATTATTACATCCAAACAAGGCATAACGATTTTTTTTTTCCATTACAATCTTTTTCTAGGAAACCTTAAAGAAAAATTGGCCCGAAAAGCGCGCGTAAATACTGAGCGAGTATATCGGATCGTGCTCATGCCCCCTGGGCATCCCATAATACTCCTTAAATCTTAGTAATTCAATATGGCCGCCGTTTCGGTAAAAAGGTTTATAGAGAGCTTAGGCAGTCTTCACGCCATACTGGATAGCGTTTCGTCTCGACGCGAAAAGCTATTAGGTATAGCATAAACAGCAACTGCCCTGGACCTGAACGAGTCGCTCACACACATCGAACATCGTACCTGAGCGGTTGGCCGAGAGCCAGCTTGGTCAACTAAGTCCCAAATCTCACTCCTGAATATTTATTTCGTCTCAGTGGGTTCCAATCCTCGCCACTACGTATTCACTTCCTCTACGGTCCGAAAAAGTGTAGGGCCAGAACCTATTCGACATATGACGCTCCACAGTGTTCGAGATTGGCGCGGCGTAGCTTCGCTCCGTCACTGAAATCGCGCCGAAATCACCGTTCTTGTGTATGAATAGAAGCACTGTCCGGTACGGTTTTCGCGCCTGCGCAAAAGCTATCTGGTATAATGTAAACAAAGCCTTAAGCAACGACCACGAGACGACATGGAGACTGGCAAAAAAGAACTCTGCACTATATGAACAACTTTACACGTGCATCACGTTTTTTTGTACATTTCTTTGCCGTTACTGCACGACTGCGACGTGAAAAAGCCTAATTTCACTTTTTGTGGGGGACGTGAACACATAACAATGACTTTCTTTTTCTTTTCCTGAACTTTGATATAGTCTTTTAGAATTCAACTCCATTAGCCGATGTTTGACGAACTGAACGAGATGAAATAACGCGATATAGTTTGAAGCAGCAAGAATTCACTTTTTCAGTGACGAAGCCGTAGCCGTCGTTGAAGCTTAGGGCCTGTTTACATGGAGTGGGGGACCCCGGTCTAGTGGGGTAAGTTTCTTTTGTTTTGTGTTCCCCAGAGCGTGAAAACAAAAGAAACCAACCCCACTAGACCGGGGTCCCCCACTCCATGTAAACAGGCCCTTAATCTCCCTCCCTATAAATGTAGATTCCCTTGGGCTTTATTCAAAAGCCCGCAACGGAAATGTGAAACCTCATTCCCAGGGTCTTCTCCAACCCGCAGGGACGGGTAGGAGAGGACCTTAGGAACGAGGTTAGGAAATGCGTTCATCTTTTTCAGCTTAAGAATTGTGCACCTGACGAATTCTACTGCTGGCAGATGTTAGAAGCGACTGGTATAAGTCCTGTACCGGGAAATTCGTTCGGACAAAAAGAAGGAACATATCATTTTAGGTCAGAGCTAAGTTGTTATTCGCCTCTCTTTCTTAGTTGTTTTATATACTTGTTTCTCTTGTCGGGTGATGGGGGAAGTCGCGGCGCTGATGTGGGACGGAGTAATTGGCCTCTGAAGATGAACAAGAGACTGGCTCACCAGGAGGAGACTGTTTTGGGAGACACCTTTTTGGCACCTATGCTGGGTTGTTCAAACCTGGGTGAAGAAAACCCAAGGCTATTGCGAAATTTGAATTCAAACATGAAAGCGTAAAAAACCAATTCAGATTAATTCTTTTTGTCTGCAATTTGATGATAAGATACTTTCAAAGGGATAGGGAAAATTATCCAAGAAAACACTTTTGAACAAAAGAAAAAAAAACGGATTAGAATTATACCCCCGATTAGAGCTAATCGGCCTCCTATCAATAGCCCTTTTTAGCTGTAGGTTTTGTTTTCCCATTGCAGACCACGTCATTTTACACTAGATTTGTTTCTTTCAAATGACGTTCTATGAATGTGCATGCACGTGCATATGCGTGCATAACTAATGAAAATACAAAAGGCAAATTCCCCTGAGAACATCACGATGTCTGAATCGGATAAAAAATTTACAAGCTAAAAAGGTCTATTGGGCCCTGTCCTGGGGTCAATTTAACAAAACTTTTACACTTGTAATTTATAAGTGTAGCCATTGTTTAAGAGTCTGAAAACAATAGCTACACTTGTAAATTACACTTGTAAAAGTTGTATAAAATTGACCCCTGCGGAACCTCAAAATAGCCAAAAACCGAGGCGATCGAATGTCCTCAAACAGTCCCATATTGCTATTCGGCAAAACTTCCGACCCAGCCTCGCTCGTAACCTCCAAAGGCTAATTCTTAAGGTGACTTGACCCAGTATTTTTTTAGGTACACCTTCCATCTTTGGTCTCTTAGACTTAAACAAATTTATCTTTATAATATTGCTAACCGTTATAACTGATGTATTACACACGTTGAAAACTTTTAGTTGTTTTCAATAGCTCCTGTATCTTTTATTTAAAAAGTGAAATAAACCTGACTTTAATTACTTTTTGGAAAAGCAAAATTATTATAAATCAGGATATATAATGTTTGAAAGTCTTTATTTTTTCTTTGTCGCAGGTTAACCATCTTGCCATCTGAGGAAAAGGTAGTTTCCATGTTCGACAGAATGAGCAAGTTTCATGAAGAATTCATGCAAAAATACAGAAATGACAAGGATAATCAACACTACTTTAGCAAATATAATTCCGCTTGTTAATTCCTGGGCTCCATGCAACCGTTGCAGCCGGTATACCTTTACTCATAGTTAAGAAAGTGGAATGGTTCTGCAACCGTGCACAGCGTTCAATAGTATTCCTTTCATTTTGAACTTGCTAAGTAATAGAAACTTTTACATCGCATTGATTTATTCAGTCACTATTTGTGAGCCATAAGCAAAGGATTGTGCAAGTCGGGGAGCTTCCAACATAAACTGGAGCACCGTTTTTTTTCATCTTTGATATTTACCGCCTTTCATAACCAGTCTCCTCTACTAAATATACTGAAAGGGATATTTTTATTTATATTTTTATAATTCCAGTTTTTAGCTATTAATAGTAGTTTAATTGGCTATTGTTCGTGACGAGAAATTGCACTTTGGGTGAGGTTAATCTTTGGTCAAACAAGCAAATCAATGTAGTGAGTTTCGCAATGCCCAAATAGACCTTTTTACCGATACGGCGGCCATATTGAATTAATTCGATTTAAGGAGTATTATAGGATGCCCAGGGAAGATTATCACGTTTCGTTTGTATTTTCGAGAGCTTTTCGGGACATTTTTGTTAAATTTTTCTTAGAATAAGATTCTAATGGGAAAAAAGATCCTTGTGCCGGGTTTGGATGTAATAATGATCGCCTTTTTCTAGTTTAGTATTAGAAATATGGGCTTTCACTGTATATCTCTGGGGAAAAAAGCGATCATTATTACATCAAAACACGGCAGAAGGATTTTTTTTCCCATTACAATCTTGTTTTAAGAAAACTTTAAGAAAAAAATGTCCCAAAAAGCGCTCGAAAATACAAACGAAATGTGCTCGTGCCCCTGGGCATCCTATAATACTCCTTAAATCGAATTAATTCAATATGGCCGCCGTATCGGTAAAAAGGTCTATTGCCATAGGACCAATCGCCAAAGTAACCTCCATTGAATAAGACTTATTTATATCATTCTTGTTTTTAGTCATTTGCGGGAAAATTCTCGGGTTGGGTTATTACAGTACAGGACGACGAACTGTCCTATTGATTTTTCACCAGCCTTTAGGCAGAGTTTCTAACTAAAAAATATATATAAGTACAGCTTCAGTTATAATGTAGTTCCAATTTAATCAAACGTTTTAGATATAGGCCATAAACACTAGCAAACGTTGTGACTTTTTTGCGACGTCACACGTAGTATTTTCTCTATCTTTTGACCTTTTGACTTGTATTAATTTTTTACTTTATATCGGGGCTCAACTGAATGTTACAGCTCTTGTACTTACCAATAAACTTCATTGTAACGAAAACTGATAAAATAAATAAATATAATACGTGACTGTTCACTGGATAGAGCAGCTAACCAGTTAACTTTCAGGAAAAGTTTTACGAGAATTAGCATCGATGTTCGATTTTTTTCTTCTACTTTAGAAGACCTTTTAAGTTCTGTTTTTGCAAACTTTTTACCTGGTCCCTGAGTATGTGATAATACAGGGTTGGTATAAAAATGAGAGAAAATTTATCACATCAAATAATGTAAAAATGAAGTATATCGAATGCACTGGCCGGGAATCGAACCCGGGCCTCCCGCGTGGCAGGCGAGAATTCTACCACTGAACCACCAGTGCTTCGTATACAAAGGGCGTTATAATTTAAGATGTTTTATCCGGGTTGTTTAAAGTAGAGTTAAGATAAAGATAACCCAGGGTTAGTGCGAAATTTGAATTCAGATATGAAAGCTTAAAAAGCAAATTCAGTTTAATTCTTTTTCTCAACAAGTTGATGACTGGATGCTCTTAAAAATAACAGAGAAAATTATCCGAGAACGGCTTTGAGCAAAAGAAAAAGATTCCTGATTTAACCCGGGTTAAGCGCTTACCGGCCTTCGAGCAACCAGGAATCAGGGGCACCCAACGACTGTTTTCTGTGAAATATCTGTTCGGAGAAGCAAGTATTGCCTAGAATTTTCTATTGCTTGAGGAAGGCTAAAATTTTCTAAATGACCGTTCCATTCTTGTACAAATTTCGAAGCTAATTTAATAAATTCCCTACGATTTTCTGAAGTTTCATTTTCACATTTTACACCCCATGTTAGGCTATTTTTCGTAGGAAAAAGGAAACCTGAAATTTTCGGATTCAAAAATGTGATGGAGAGAGGAATCAAAAAATTTTCTTTTTCGTAATGCGCTAAACTGCATCTAAAATTTTCGGGAAAATGATACTGAAGCCCTTGTAATTTCGAAGACTCAAGTTCTCCTAGGATGACCGAACAGATACAAATTTTAAAAGGCCCGCTTAGAATGCATTTCTAGAGGTCTAAACTTACTCTCGATAGCTTAAAAAGTGTTTTAAATGAATTTGGGTGGAAACTATATGTCGTTGGGTGCCCCTGAGGAATGGATTACTAAACGAGGAGGACAGAAAAATGCTAAAAATACTTAACCATGGCCATACGCACTAACCAAGGACCTGAAAAACGCTGTGGTACGTATAAGACTGGACCGATAGTGCGACTCTTCTAAATCAATTTACAATCGAATGTTCAGCTATATTTTTACATGTCGCTGTAGAGATTTGAAGCACGCTGGTCGCGCGCGCAGCATGTCACAATGGCTATCCGACGTAAACCAGTTAATAAAATTCTAGTTTGAGAATATTGCAAAAGCTGTCAGTTTCCACAGCTCTTGTACTTACCAATAAACTTCATTGTAACGAAAACTGATAAAATAAATAAATATAATACGTGACTGTTCACTGGATAGAGCAGCTAACCAGTTAACTTTCAGGAAAAGTTTTACGAGAATTAGCACCGATGTTCGATTTTTTTTTTCTATTTTAGAAGACCTCTTAAGCTCTATTTGCAAACTTTTTATCTGGTCCCTGAGTATGTGATAATACAGGGTTGATATAAAAATGATTAGAAATTTATCACATCGACAAAAATAATGTAAAAAGTAAAGAAATCGAATGCACTGGCCGGGAATCGAACCCGGGCCTCCCGCGTGGCAGGCGAGAATTCTACCACTGAACCACCAGTGCTTCGTATACGAATGACATTATTTTTTAAGACTTTTTTACCGGGTTGTTCAAAGTAGGGTTAAGATATAGATAACCCAGGGTTAGTGCGAAATTTGAATTCAGAGATGATAGCTTAAAAAGTTAATTCAGTTTAAGTCTTTTTGTCAACAAGTTGATGTTTGGATGCTCTTAAAAATAACGGAGAAAATTATCCGAGAAAATGCTTTTGAACAAAAGAAAAAGAAACCTGAGTTAAATTTAACTCTGGGTTAAGCGCTTACCGGCCTTCGAACAACCAGGAACGGATTACTAAACAAGGTGGACAGAAAAATGCTAAAAAATACTTTTGCCACGGCCATACACACTGACCAAGGACCTGAAAAACGCTGTGGTACGTATAAGACTGGACCGATAGTGCGACTCTTTAATCAATTTTCAATCGAATGTTCAGCTATATTTTTACATGTCGCCTTAGAGATTTGACGCACGCTGGTCGCGCGCGCAGCATGTCACAATGGCTATCCGACGTACACCAGTTAATAAAATTCTAGTTTGAGAATATTGCAAAAGTTGTTTGCCAGTGTTATATTAATTTACTCAGCGCTCTACGAGAATGGGTTTCTTGCGTTTTTTCAAGCAGTTAAATTGTTTTGGTTGTAGTCAGAGAAAAGAGAAATCGACGTAAGTAACTAATAGACAAACTGTTGAGCTTTTTTTTATCTTTTTCCTTCTGTGGTTTTTGCTCTTCTCATGTTGGTATACTTTATACTTAACCTCAGACGAGAAATGAAAAAAGAAATGGATGCTTTGAGAAAAAAAATTCAAGACCTTCAAGAGGATGTTTTTTCCAAAAGGTATTGACTGATCAATCATTGGTTGTTTCTATTTTTCTAGACTGTTCACAGTCTCCTATTTTTCCGTAAGATATATATCGCCAAGATCCAGCGCTTTGCGTTTCGAGCTGCCATGGGTGATACTCGGTACACATGAAACCAAGTTGGCCGCCCGTACAGGCAACTCTCGATCCTGACGGTCTTACACAAAAAAATAGGGGACTGTGAACAGTCCGAATCTACAGTACTAGATTCCAGCCATGTTTGAACCAGTTGCAAATAAGTGGGACGCGAGTTGCTGTTAAAGGGAACGTTGCTGTCAACATTGGGGGGTATAATAATGATCATGTTGTTACCAACAATTACTTTACACAGGATGATGGTTGAGGAACTCACCCGACAAAAAGAGGCGGAAGAAAGACGCGTTCTGCTTAAAAACGTTCGAATGGAACTAATGACCAAAGTGGAACAGATTGAGCTAAAGTTACAGAGAAAACTACAACACCGTCAAACGGTGTTGACTGAGTTAATGTGAGTATCTTAAAGAATCCCGTTAAGTACAATGCATGAAGTTCATTGTCTGACTCATGGCGTTAAGCGATTTCCCGACCCTTTAAAGTTTCTTTTACACTGTTTCATGAGATTTGTTAAACTGAGCCAAGTCTTTAATTAATTAGACGAGCTGCAGTTTTCTATCAAGAACTAAGAGTAAAACACGACGCACAGCCGAGCGTTTTGATCAGGACTTGTTGATAAAACCGAATAGATAGATAACTGCAAGTTTTAATTAATTGTCCAGCTTCAGAACTTTCCTCGATCGTAGATCTGTTCACGAGTCTGATTATTTTCCGGAAAACATAGGAGCGAAAAGCAAGGTCCTTAAGTTGTCTTGGTTTTATCAGATAGAAAAAAAAAACACCGACACGCTATTAGTTTTCTCTTCTTTTGTTAGTTCTTTAACGTGAGTAAAGTTCTAAATGGATATTTATGGCAACCCAAAAATACTGTCCTTTCCTTATTGTTATTTATTTATTTATTTTAAATTTTTTTTTCACAGCCAACTCAATCTTGGAAGATTGGTGCAACAAAAGAAACTAGAAGCAGTACAAAGAGAAGCAACATCCTTCATGGAGGAACTGTCAAGAAATGAAAAAAGAGCAAGAGCATGGAAGGAAAATCTGCGTCGTGTCGGTTCAGAGAGCAACATACACACTGTCGTATTACAGCCGCGGCTGGTGTCTTATGCTGTCTGAACAGTCATAAATTAAAACTAGTTGATTTATTTAGGGCATCGAAAGCATGGACCCAGTTCTGACATATTCTGATTAGAGTGGATTTAGTTGCCAGTGATTTCTGCAGAATCCTCGCAAGTAAGCGTTAAAAATCAACAAAAGCACTACTAGTGAAAGTCAGGCTGTACCCTTCAGCCCCTCCCTCATGCACTCCTGACACCGCCGATCTTGCTTTCGATGCGTCTCCATCCCCCTAAGGACGGACGGAAAACAATTAATGCGTCGCATGAGACAAGAATTAAGGCGCATACATGCTTCATACATCGGTCAACGGACAGGACATATGCTGGTGACATAATAAAAAACTATCAAAATAACTCGACTCTTTGAGCATCACGGCGTGTAAAGGTTGTCATGTCGGTAACTTGAGCTTGGGAGCTTGAGACAGGAAAATGTACTTCTTTCCCGGGTGTTTCGTCATGTCATGCCCAGCCCTTTCACACGCGGTAGGAAAAAGTTTGCAGTCAGTTTCTTCATGCTCCTTGCGAATAAAGATCATGATCATAACATACTGTGCATTACGTTGTCCCTGTGATGATCGTATACCCCCAAAGGGCCACTATTTGTTCCTTACACTTGGATAGTCATTTTCGTACGTCAGTCTATTCAGTTACACTTCTGAATGTGATCGTATGTTCAAATAAGTATCAGGTACAATCAAACCTCCATTAACGACCACCTGCATGAGTCCACAACGGCCACCTCTCTAGCAACAGCCAATTTTTTGGCGGACAGTCCATGCATTGACTCTTGTTTAAACCCTCCTCAACGGACAAAAACAACCACCTTTTTCTGTCCCCAAGGTGGCTGTTGTGAAGAGGTTTAACCGTATAAACCATTTTATGTTATATACGGAAAAATTGAAATGCGAAAAGAATGTCTAGATGAGGTGACAAGAACGCTGTCAATCTTGAAGTGCAGTGCAGCGGCTGTACGACATTATCGATATGCGCGAGGTTTCCGTAAAATACTAACGAGTAATGAGCAAGGCTAGACTAAGCGATACCGTTTTTTAACAGATATAATCTTAAATTGTCATTTTATTACGAAATTATTCTGGAGTAATCAGAATTTTTCCTTTACCGATGATCGATTGCGACAAGCGTAAGGAATTATCTATAAACTGAAAACGCTTTGGGCAAAAGTTTGCCATCAAAGAGGCCATGACAAGCAGTGTGCTGTTGTTGCCTTAGAATCCCTTGCAAGCGATCAATACAAAATCGATGACCATACATTAGTCTTGACAGAATCTTTAATAGGCAATAGACTTCAACTTAGTAATTAACTGCCCCTTATCCTCCAAACGTTTTCCGTTTTCATTGGGTCCAATTTAATGTGGGTGTTAGCCAACTTCTCATGAACAGTGAAACCATCACGAAAGCACTCAATACTGCTGAGCTTTTTAACTCTTCGTTTGTCAATCATTTAATATCTCCCCCGCCGAGCCCGGTTTTCAAAATGCTCAATAAATTCATTTAAATGCCTGCACACTGACAAGCAAAACGACATGCAGCTGCAGCTGGGATGGTCTTGTTTAACTGCGTAAGCATTATAATAGTCTAGCAGGTATTCTCTCTTGCTGAACCAGGTTCATGTACTAAATACTATCACGACAGTCATTGTAATTTCAATCAAAATTTTTCGTTTTGGTGGAATATTCATGCGAAAGTTACGCCAGTTCTTAAAAACCTTAGGGCTCGAACAATGACATCCAAAAGCTTTTCAGAGGCTGGATTGCAATCTGGGTTTCGAATAATAAGCATTCAATCGATACTGCGAAGGTTCGATTAGTATACCGTCCAGTTGCTTTTAATTTTGATATATTGACAACATAATGTGGCTGGTCTTGTTTGCGTCGCATTCAGTAAAACCGGACCTTTACCCGGGACTTTTAAGTCCATTGTTAAAATAATGGACTTCTTCTTGCTAAACTGAAGGAGTATAGATTATGATGATATCGATTATTGTAGCCTACAAATTGTGTAGAAGCAATCTTGCTAATCGAAAGCAGTATGTCAGCGTAAACGAACGCGAGCAGTTCGACCTTTGCTTAGTGTTACACATGGAGTATAAACAGAATAATAAAAAACGCATTAACAGTATTATATACATCAGTTGTAAACATTCGATGGAGCAAAAAAAATCAGCTCTAGTAAATGAATTGACGCTGTTTTGAATTCTTTGAAGCCTTCTTTGGCCTGCCTTGAGTTCAAAAACATCACCTTTAGGACTTTGTCGACGTTTGAAAGATCGTTCTCAAAAAAAAAAAAAAGATGGAAAAACACCGAGCTCACACATTATCCACTCCCTAGAAGGTGAACGATGTTGAATAGTCCGAGATGGCGAGCCAATCAGATTGCTTAAAACACCAACATCACTGAGTGTGTACATACTAACACCACTTATTCTAATTTCACAAATCTGAAATGTAATGCTTGATTGCAGCCAAAGATAATCGAAGATCGCGGATCAAATTTTGTCTTGCCGGAAATCTCAGCCAGTTTTCGTCTTTTTTCTACATGAACACGCCAGAAACTAAATATCAAGATATAACAGCTGTGTTACAATCCGACTCTAGGTCTAAATGATTCAGCTTTGTCAGTGTTGTTAAGGCTAGGGCGTGTGTAACTTTGCAAAAATTTTCTCTGTGTATCCAGTGCATCTTTTTGAAGTTTAATCCTATCACCCGATGTAAGGCCACCGGTCACGGTGTTGCCGAGACCAGTCCTTGGCGATCTGCGCATACTCTCTGGTACTTGAAACCTGTAAGCTTCTGGTGTCATTTTTTGAGGAATTTTTGCTTCCACAATCTTTATCTTCTCTGTTATGACTTGATTGAATTTCTTTTGCCCGACATTCTCCTTCACCAGCTTATTTACTGCAGCTGACAATTCTCGAAGCTCGCTGCGACATTCAGCAACGGACTCCTTCATCTCTTGATTTACTTCTTGAACTTCGTAGAATTTATCTTTCATGGTACTGATCTCTTTTTTTGCCAAAATGAGTGAATTCCATGCCATTTCTAAATGACCATCCGCGCTTACCTCCAAGTGGTCCTCTAGGTAAGCTCTTTTATCCTAACAAATAATAAAATATGACTATTTTCAATAACGTATTATTTGACTTAAAACGCTAATATAAATACCAGCGTCACATTTTTCTCCAACTTCGTTCCCAGGGTCCTCTCCTACTCGCCCTAAGAGAGGACCCTGGAAACAGGGTTATACAATTCTCCTAGTAATGTATTAGTGACCAAGGCCTGTCACCATATATAAATGTTCCCAAGAGCTACGCATGTCAGGTTTTTCAAAGTACCTCTGTTATGTCTAACAAAGACCAAAATATGCGCTGAAGCACACACTACCAACTCTGCGGTATGGCCAGTACCTTACGCATGCGCACAGCCATATCACCCTGGTAGTGGCAGCCACGGAAAGCTGTTTCGTCCTTCGCCAGGACGAAGCCGCTGTCCATTGCTGCCACTGCCGGAGTGATATGGCTGTGCGCATGCGTAAGGTATTGGCCAGATCGCGGAGTTGGTAGTGTGTGCTGCAGTGCATATTTTGTCTTCTTTAGGTCTAACCATGCTGGAATGACAGACCAGGCAAAAGACAGCCTCGTTGAATATTTCACCGTGGGAAAATAAGTCATGGGTCACTATATTTCAACCTGTTTATAAAAACAGTCACTACCCTGGGTGCCGGAGATTTCCGGTTTCTGGTTAGTGTTTATAGTGACCGGCGAGCCTAAATTGTATTCAGAGGTTGAGTCTCCTGCAATTATAAGATTGCCACAGGTTCATTTCATTACCTCAAATGGACAACCAGCTTCAGAGTATGGACACAGAACAACTGTCATCAGACATTTCTCAGAGACATGACTTGCCATCTGAAAATAATAGTAATAACAATAATAATTGAAATGATAACGATAATGATGAGGAGGAGGATAATGCTAATGATAATGATAATGATAATAATAATACTAATAACGATTAAAACAACAATAATGAGCTTCAGGAAATGGACAGAAGACATGGAACCTTCTGATAATATCTCGATCTTTTAACCCCCAGGCAGATGTTAATAGGCTTTAAAATGACTAAAAACGAGGGTGAAAGCCTCAGTAATAATGTTGACAGCAGGCAAGAAAGAATGGGATGGACGACGCAGCCGAAGAGAAGGTGCTGAAGAGAAGTGAGGACTTAACAGTATTAAGGTTACGGATGCTGTACGAGCAGAAAGAAAATTACTAGTGAAATCCCCTACATGGTCAATTTTTAAGGGCCAAAGTGGATGCTGAAGAGCATAGAGATGAGCTACGTAAGACAGAAGGATTCATTACTGCTGCTCAGAGCCAAGCCTTAAGAAAGAACAGTAAAAAAAATCACTTATCGACAAGCAGAACATCCCGCCAAAATTCAGGTTAAGTGTGGAGAGAGGGGACTGTAAAAATAGATTTAATAAATCATTTAAAAATTCATTTCAATCAAAAAAAGTTATTCCAATTAAAAAGAAAATTATTTCAGTTAAAAAAAAAAACAATGAATTTGATTTTTAAAAAAAAAAAAATTTTCTAAAGTAAACATAATCGAACTAAAATATCGTTTTCAATTGTCTTATCGAATGTTTCGCGAGTCCTTTTTCAATATCTAAATCCACTTTGTCCGACATTTCTAAATAGACTCAGTTCTAGACCCTCGCGATCCTCGCGATCCAAAGCAAAGCTGATCTTAGCTAGGCAAATGATACTAACAACATAAATGATAATAATAATTAAGCTTGTTTGTTGCGCACAACTAGGTCAAATTATTTGATGAGGTTAGTCGAACAATAGTGCCGGTTTTCAGTAACAAGACGGCCAAATTTAATACTGAGAACAACTGACTGAGACCATTAAAGCTTATGACCGACCTGCACTCGAACAAGTAGATGAAATGTGAACAAAAATAAGCGAGCAAA